CCCCAAAACCCCAAAACCCCACACAGAGAAAATAGAAGGATTTATTACTAATGGAATTAATACTAATATAATTATTTAATCACCAAGCAGTTAATTATCAAAAATGTTCCTTTTGAACTAATATTAACTCTTGATAGCTTTATGGAAAAAATTCCAACAGAACTTAGATTATTTAAAAACTTCCTACTATATTTGCAAATATATGTATTTGAAAAATTCTTTAAGATCATATTCATTTCTATTTCTAACCAATATATTATAGATTATTCTCATTTAGCTAGATCAGATATTTCTAATTAATGTCCTGAAATGTCTAAGATAAGTTTTCATCTAGAGTATCTTCACTAATATCAAATTCCTCCTTAATCATGAAGCTAAAGTATTCTACTTCATTTTAAGGCAAAATACTAGGATTTTCCTATTATTATTCAAATTCTCTCTAATTAATCTTGAGATTTTAATTATCATGAAAAGAATTATTTCTCAAATCAATCATATTAATTCGATTTACTCTTTATTTTTTATGATTTATTAATGGAATCTATCGATACATCTTTTATTGGTTTTGAGAGATCTACTATAAAGTATTTCTATTACTAAGAGTTTACTTAATACAATCACTGTTATCTTACTATAATCTTGAATTACTAGATTTGTTTCTTTTCTATAATTATAAGGTAGCTATTTATTCTTGTTGACATGCTAATTTATAAAATGAATGTTGTGATGTTTATTCTAAGGATGCTCATTGAATATTTTTGCCTTAAAATGTTTGTAATTTAGGTTCTATGAATAAAAATATTAGATATGAAATTATCATTACTTAATGAAGGTGTGTTAGCTTAAAGTTCCGAAAAAGAATTCGTTTGAATTTTGCTCTAGAAAGTATTAAACTCTTTCTTATAACTTTAAGTTCTTTATTTTTAATTTTGTGAGTAAATGAAAGACTCATTTAGTTACTACAGTTTGCTTGTTTAATTTATATATTATTATTTTCCTTAAACGATTGAAAAGTTTCTGCCTCCATTTGAACTCTCACCCGAAATCTTTTTCATTTTTTAGGAGATGGGGTTCTCAAAATACTTAAATTGTTCTGAAAATTCTACCATTCTATTGCACCAATTTGATGTTAGCTTGGTCCAGTCCATAGCCCACTATTCCTTAATTGTGTTTAATGAGTTTAGCTAGGTTAAGAGATTTTTGATAATAATATCATATCTTGGCTTCTCTTCAAACTATAACTTATCGCAATATTTTATTAGGCATCTAATTAAGCCTAAAATATTATTTGTTAAAGATTAATCTCTTACAAGTTTGACTCTTCATTTTAATTTCACTATGAAAATCTTACTTAGCCTTTCTCACTTAATCAAAGGACATAGTTTTTATTTTTCCGTCATTTTATTTTATAACCCATGGAAGCTTTCCATCTTTAAAATAGAGTAGTAAATAAAATATTGACAAGAGATCATCCTTTCTAGAGGGACCTAATTCAATAATTTAATCAAAGTAATTATTTATATTTATTACTTACTGTGCCCAAGCATTTAATAAACACTGCTAAATACAAAGTTACCCATGAATGTAGATTATCTTTCATTTTAGATATGCCTGCCATTTTCACAAAGATAAGTCTAAGATGCACTAAAGTCAATTATACTTATTAACGATGATTCTGGAGATGAAAAATCAAAGCTTTGTAATAAAATGTTATCTGGCTTCAAATCTCTATGAACAAACCCTATTTTATGAAGTTGACTAATTATGCTAATCTAGTAAATAAATAAAACATGCTATAAATATCTTACTAGTTAAATGCCGAGTTAAAGACTTGTTTGAGGAGATATTCTATGCTTTTAATGATGTAATATTTTCTTCAAAGAAGGTCCTAAAACTTCTATTGCTAAATAACCTCTATTAAAATTGTCGACTCCAGATCTGAGGAATCTTGGAAATCCTATAACATTAGATAAGAATAGAATGAAATCTAATACCAATATACTTTCTCCTATGGAGGAGCTTGTAAATCTTTTCTTCCACTCGAAATTCTTCGCATAAATCCATCTAGATTATGTTAGAACAATAAATTCTACTATTTTGACAGCGCATTTCTAGTGAGTGCTTTTATCTATTGCTAGCCAAACTAAACCTAATGCTCCTTAGCCTATTTCTTTAACTAATTGAAATTTGTTTTCTGTCATCTGATAATTAATAATATTATTATATATATAGAAAA